TGCATTTTGCAGCCTGTGCTTTAGGTGAGTTGAAAATGTATTGTTGTTTTCGGTCGCAGCTGTACAAGTACACAACATCTGGTTTGTGACACTTCGCTCTCTCTCTCACTATTGTGAGTTTCTGTCTGAGAAGATTCAAGATTGGAAAGGCTCTGACTCAATCGGTAGCATTAATAACATTAATAAAAAAGATTATTTTCACCTCAGGATTATTTGGGAAGATAATCATCACAGAGTGACCTCCTGTCAGGAACACCCCCGCGAGTGTCTGAAGGGGCAAAATCTGGTCTAAAATCGGCCCCATTATCCTCTAGTGTGCAGCAGCCCTAAATAAGCAAAACATCACGAGGACAGGTGTGCTTCAGAAAAGTCTCTTTTAGATTTTTTCATTCGATCTGTGTTACTATTCAAATGAACCACAGTGTGAGCAAATTAACACATTTCAATAATGTGTGCTGCTCAGTAACATTCAATCTGTTGACAGTGCAATGCAATACTATGCAATGTTTATCATCTCAGAGCTTTTTTAAGATGCCAGTTTTCAACAAAGCTGCATTTCTCTAAATGTCTCTTAAGACTTTTGACTTACTGCGTCTTATGCCTACTACAACGCTGCCATGGTAACTACTGATATGATGAGTGACGATGGTGATTTGGTAAAGTTTGAAAGGTTTTATGTATTTTTAAAGATACAGAAAACCTCAAATTGTTTGCCAAATGCTTAAATATCATATAATTCCCACTTTCTGTCACTATACAGTAATCAAATAAAATCTGACTTTGTCATTGATCAATGGTGCCTTTTATTTCATCCATTTTCAGGTCAGCTATTTCTTATTGTTTGTGCAAGACAAGAGACAGTGTTCGATCAAATATTTCATTCAGTCTTAAAACATGAAATGACAAAAGACATTCAACTACACTATTCAATTTTTTTTCAGCAGAAAACTAAGAGCCTTGACGCTGAGGGAGCAGTCATGTATTAGAAATGAATGTTGCCAGTGCATTGTTCAGTTTTGAAAATTGACCAACCTGATTTCTTAGCTTCTGCCTCTATTGTGTGTCGAGTGCTCCCTCTGAACCATGACAAATTTTGAGCCCCTGACTTAATGTGTTAACTCTGTGTCTATTCTGTCTCTCTGATGCACTCCTCTTCCTCACCTCTCTCTTTTGGTGTCTCATCTGTCTCTCTCACTCCTCATCTCCTCTGCTCCGTCTTCCTCACTCTCATGTCCTGCTCATAAAAAAGATGCAGTTGGAATATGACAACCACAATCTCACAGAATCTCTTTGTTTAAT